GGGATGGGGGGCTGCGTGGTCCCTCACTGACCCGGGCACGGGGCAGAGCTCGGGGAGCTGCGCAGCCTTCCCACTGCCCCCAGATCTGAGACACCCGGCGTGGAGCTCAGGGTGCTGGGAGACCCCCTGCCTGTGAGACTGGGGTGCTGGGGAACCCCTTGCCTGCAAGCTTGGGGTGTTAGAAGATGCCCTGCCTGGAGCTCCAGAAGCTGGAGAACGCCCCACCTGCGAGCTCAGGGTGCTGGATGACACCTTGCATGGAGCTTGGGGTGCTGGGGACTGCCCTGCCTGAGAGCTCAGGGACATCCTACCTGCGACCTCAAGTAGCTCAGGGACATCCTGCTTGCAAGCTTAGGGTTCTGGGGGATGCCCTGCCTGTGAACTGGGGTACTGGGGGACATCCTACCTGTGGGATTGCCTATACCCTGCTTGTACACTCAGGTATACCCTGACCCTGAGCTCAGTCAGCATGGGGATGCCCTTCATGGAAGCGTGGGGACGCCCTGCCTGCAAGCTCAGGGACACCCTACCTGTGACCCCAGGGAGCTCAGAGACATCCTGCCCACGTGCCTGTGCCTCCTCTGCCCACCAGCACAACCCACAGCACCCGTCGTGGGCAGTGGTGGATGTGAGTGGGCAGTGGGGACATCTGCCATGGGATGTGTGCCCTGCTCTGACACCCCCCGTGGGTTTGTTTCCTTGGAGGTCCAGGCATGTGGGATATTCTCACCAGGGTGGGAAAGACCAAATTCTGCTTGCCTGACCCAAACCCCACAGCACCAGCACTAGGCTGGGGATACCCTGGGGGCTCTGGTGGCTGCCACTTGTTCCCCCTGCCTCTGTCCTGCCCCATCCCTGGTCATGCTGGGTGCCTGGATGGCTTCTGAATCCATGGATTTTTGCCCTCTCCGTATCTCTCTGTCGTTTCTCAGGTCTCTTCCCAGGAAGAGCAGCTGGGGCAGGTTGCGGGAGGTCTGTCGGTAAGGAAGCAGGCTCTTCCTCCTTCCCCGGTATTTAAGAAGCCGCTTCCGCGCTGCCCAGTCCTGGGCCTCTCTGTCCCGTTCCCCTTATGTGTCTGGTGGTCCAACATCCCGGAGCAGCACTCTGGCCACATCCCCACGAGGGACGTTGTCCCCAAGACCTGCAGGGTTTGGCATGTTTTAGGAACAAGTTTGGGGCTGGTTTCGGCAGGAGCAGGGAGGTGGGTGACAGCCACCACCAGATGGGAGCCCTGTGCCATGATCCCACTGCAGACAGCTCTTGGTCCATGTGACAGATGGCTGCTCCCAGTGAGAGAGGCAGACCCCTGGGCACCCATCCCAGATCCACAACCCCAGGACATCCATTGGGAACTGCACGTGAGGGAACCGGTGTGGTGGGTTCTTGGCACACCCAGTGTCAGCCTGTGCTGGGATGCTGCCTTGGAGGCTGGGGACAAATGTCTTCCTGGCCCCATGGGCTGAGCTGGGGCCTTTCCCCATACCCTTGAGATGCACTGAGATCTTTCCCTGTCCCTCTAGGTTGAGCAGGGATCCTTCCCCATCCGTCTGGGGTAATCTAGGATCCTTCCCTGTTGGTTTCAGATGAGCTGCGGTTCTTCTCTATCTTATTGGCCCGAGCTGGGATCCATTCCCTTCCCCTTGGGCTGAGTTAGGATCATTCCCCACCCCTCTGGGATGAACTGGGTCTTTCCCCATCCCTGTATACTTTTGAGGAGTTGTGGTGCATTCCCAGGTCACAACAAGCAATGATGGGTTGCCTGGGAGCCTCCAGGCACTGCCTGGGCACACGGTGGTACCTCAAGTATCACTTAGACCCCTGGGTTTCAAATCTCTGTGGTTCCTCCACGGCCTCACCAGGAGGGCAGTGAGGGCAGGATGCCGGGCTTTTCTTCCCAGCCTGGCATTGGCAAGGCTCTGGGTGGAATATTCCCATCTCTGTCCCGGAGCCACCGGGCACCTGGATGGGTGACTGGAGCCCGTCTTATCTCTCCTTGTGGCGGCAGCCTGGCTCCCGTGTTTAGTCTTTGGTGCCTTGCAACACCCCCGGCGACGGTGGGTGCTGGGTGTGTGGCTGCCTGTGGCTTTGGCATGGCAGGATGGCCAGCTGGTATGACAGCCCAGCAGGCTCACCATCCCTGTGATCCAAACCCCCTCCCCACTTCCCTAGGGGAAGGAGCAGGGTGCGGGTGAAGAAGCTGGACCCCGCAGTGGTGGGCTTTGCTTGGGGTCCGGTGCCCTGGACCCATGGGTGTTGCCTGTCCTGAGCCCTCCCCGCCGGTGCCATCGCTGGCTCCGGGAGGCATTCCCCTGCACATCTGCGGGGCAAGGGCGTGGGGGGCGCGGAGGCAGCGGCAGGAAGCAGGCAGGAGCTGCGGCTTGGGGTGGGACAGGGGCTTCTCTGCTGGGAGCTGTCATCTGGAAGCCATCAGCGGGGCGGGAGGGAGGGAGCCGCCTTCCCAGGGCCACACACGCCGGCCGGCCCCATGGGGACGCAGCCGGCCGGCCCGCAGCCTCCCTCACCCGCCCGGGGGTCCCCGGCTCCCCTCGCCCGGGCTTGGCACTGGGCAGCGTGTCCGAGCCCATCGGAGTGGGGGGCTGCAGTGGGGCCACCGTTTGGTCAACTCATCCCCCAAAGCTTCGGATACAGGGCTGGAGAAACCCACCCACCTGCGTCGGCAATCCTCTCGATGGCTGGAATCATCATTGCAAAGCAAGGGGGGACGCAGCGGGGTGAGCTGGCAGCAGGGATGCAGCCCCCTCCTCCCTAACCCCACATCCCTCTCGCAGCTTGGCCAACATCCCGTTGACTCCGGAGACCCAGCGGGACCAGGAGCGGCGGATACGCAGGGAAATCGCCAACAGCAACGAGAGACGGCGGATGCAGAGCATCAATGCTGGCTTCCAGTCCCTGAAAACCCTCATCCCACACACGGACGGGGAGAAGCTCAGCAAGGTGAGCAGGATGTCACCAGGGCTGTGGTGGTGTGGGGTGCAGACGCTGATCCTTCACGTGGAGGGGCTGAAAGTGTAATTGGGGATATTTGCATATGTTAATTCAGCGATCGAGGTCTCTCCTGGGGTGTTTTCCCTGTGGGAGTGGGTTTGCACCACCAACCTGGAGTGGCTGAGTGTGTGTGGCAGCCTGCAGTGCCCCAGGAGCAGGGTATTGTGCCTGGGTGAGGAGGAGACCCTGCTGCAGAGGGGAGTGGGCTGAGGAGGTGCTCGGCGGCCAGGCAGGTTCCTGAAATGGAATTGGAGGATTTCGCTGTGGTGGAAATCCCAGAGGGGACCTGTGGGCGAAGCAGACCATGAAGGGAGGTGCTGGGGCCGGGTATGGAGCAGTGCTGCTGCCTCCCAGGCAGGGAGGGAGCTCAACAAGAGGAGGTTTGGGGGGACAGTATGGTCTCCTGCCTCAGCATGCCCCTCCTGGCTCTCCCACAGGCAGCCATCCTTCAGCAGACAGCCGAGTACATATTCTCCCTGGAGCAGGAAAAGACTCGGCTGCTGCAGCAGAACACCCAGCTCAAGCGGTTCATCCAGGTAGTGCCCCAGGGATGGGATGGGAGGAGATGGGACAGTCCCAGCTGGCCAGGGAGGGGACATCATCGCTGTTTCTTGGGGTCAGGGCAAGACCCTCTACCCTAATCAGCCGGGGAACGGAGATGTTTCCACTCTCCTGGCAGGGCAGGGAGCCCCATTCAACCTGGCAGGGGGAGAAGGGCTTGGGTCCCACTTTCCATTTGGGGTGTTGGGGTACGGCCCGGTGGCAATTCTGGTGCTGGGGTGCCCAACTTGAACTGTTCTGGGTATCACAGTGTGAGAACCGGGTTGGCACAAGGCTGGGGGGGTGAGGACCAGGATGGGGGGCAGATGCAGGAGTCTGTCCATCCCCAGGCATCAAGGACAACCCTGCAGAGACCCTTCCCAGCAGGGAGCTGTGGTGGGGGGTGGCATCACCCGAGTGTGGTCTGGATGGTGGGGAGGCCATCCAGGCTGGTCCCTGTCCCCTAACACCACATTCCCACGGCAGGAATTCAGTGGTTCTTCCCCGAAACGGCGACGGGCGGAGGACAAAGACGAGGGGATCGGCTCGCCGGACATCTGGGAAGATGAGAAGGCCGAGGATCTGCGTCGGGAGATGATCGAGCTCCGGCAGCAGCTGGACAAGGAGCGCTCAGTCCGCATGATGCTGGAGGAGCAGGTGAGGCTGGGTGCCCTCTAGCAGGCTCTACCACGACCCCAGCAGATCCCTGGGACACCGGCACTGCCACGGGACATCTGCTCCGGCCACCACTGCTCCACGCTCCGTCAGGGCTCCCTGGCTCTGCTGTGCCCACCCCACACAGGGCACAGCCCACAGCCGTGGTTCAGGGGTGCTGTGCCTGTCTCCTCACTGATGTCAGGGTTCTCTCGCCCGCAGGTTCGCTCCCTGGAGGCCCACATGTACCCCGAGAAGCTGAAGGTGATCGCTCAGCAGGTGCAGCTCCAGCAGCAGCAGGAGCAGGTGAGGTTGCTGCACCAGGAGAAGCTCGAGCGTGAGCAGCAGATCCGAACCCAGGTGAGTGCACTCCAGCCCATCCTGCCCGTGGCCCAGCCATGATCCCCCCAGGTGGTGAAATACAGGAGGTTGGGGCAGTTTAGTGATGGGCTTGGCACCTCCTGTGGGCAGCGATGTCCCAGCAAAGCTCTCACCCTTGGTGAATTGGGAAGGGGTCAGCACAAAGCCCCCGCAGTGCTCAGGGGGCTGTACTTGTGTGCACCCCTTGTTTCACAGCAGGACTATGGCTTGGACCACCCGTGGTGGTTTCCAAGCAGCTCAGCTCCCCATCACGGAGGGCTTTGTACAGGGAAGGTCGCTTGCCAGTGGGCAGGGATTCATCCCTGGGGGTTCACCTCTCACTGAGTGACTCCCACTGAGCTTTAGGGACCCCCAAACCACTCCCTGTGACCCACCAGGCTGGGAAAAGGGAGCAGTGAGCGGGCAGGCAGTGGGGATGGGAGCCTTCAGCCTTTCCTGCAGCACAGTTGGATTTGCCAAAGGTGCAGGGAGAAGGTGAGCGCTGTGCTGGCACCTGTACACTGCCACCCCTGAGCCCAGCTCATGGCCACACTGCTCTGGGAGCTTCAAAAGGAGAGAGGAACACCAGCTTCCACCTTCCTTGGGCTTCTGAGAAGCCATGTCCCCACAGGGTCCCTGCTGGCTGCCTCCTGGGAAAGCTTAGCCTATTTTTAGGTGAACTCTACATAGCCTCCTGCTTGGACGGGTCTTCCCATCCACTGTTCAAGTGAGGATCCCCAGGGGTGTGGGGGCTTCCTGGCCATGCAGGTCAGGGTGA